CGAATTTCTTACTGAAGATTGATTTGAAAGTTGTGATCTTTGTCTTTTATAACTATATTTTGGAAATAGCAGTTAGTTATCATCATCATCATCATCATCTTTGCTTGTTGGTGCATAAAAACTGCTTAATTCTGATATTATATCAGTTGGTTGTACTTTTTTTATTAGTGGTGACGATTTATGTTAATGTTGTTTAGAGTGAAATAATTGTGTCGATTGCAATGAATTCCTTCTACTTAGCATTTGTTGTGCTGCACTTAAAGTGCCCTGTACTATTCCTTTTGATTTATCAAAAAAGGTTGGTGATGTTGGTGAACTTGGTTTTGTTGTAGTTCTTGATATTGTTTGTTCTGATACTTTTGAATATTGATTTTTATCTTGTTTATTTATCCATTCTATTGTTTGCCCGAAGTTGTTGTCTAGTAACCATCTATCTGCTAGTTGTTCTGTTTCTCGTGGTTCATTTATTGTTGATATATATTCTTCATGATACGAATGTTTTAATTGTAATGTTTCTGGTAATTCTTAGCCTTTTGTTCTGGCTCATTGTTGCTCTTGGAACATTAATTTTTTCTTATCTTCTTCATCATGCATTTTATCTAAGTTTTCCCTAGCAATTCTCTATATTTTGCTTGGCATTGTTCTCGTAATGGTTCGCTTTCGTATAATTCCATTTGTCTAGCAAATCTTTCCATTAGAATTCATTGTTCATATTTCTCTATTGCTTAAAGTTTTTTCTGTTCAAGATTAGTATTTGGTTAGTTGCATATTCATATTCTTCTTCTAAATCTTTTACTAAATTCCTATTCTTCCAAAGAATAGCATCCTTTGTTTCTGTTAATGTGGATATTGTTTTGTATAGATAAACTTTTTTATCTTCTGCTGATTCAGCTTCTGATATTTTTCTATTTGTGATCTTTTCAATTTCTCAGATGTGTTTATTAGTTTGTTGCTTTGTTAATTGGGAAACATATTTATAATTTGTTTTCATGCTTTCTAATCGTTGTTTTAATTGCCTTAATCCTGTTTTAATTTTTGGGTCTTCCTGTTCTTTTTCTAATTGTAAAATTTGATCTAATTGTGACAATTGTGTCTTAATAAATGTTTCCATTTTTGGTGTTTTGACTTTGTTTCTTTCTTGTTGATTAAAGGTAATATTTAAACTTTTGGCTTTTCCTTTTTTTTCTTTTTTAGTATTATCTTTTC